CTCTCTCTCTCTCTCTCTCTGTGTGTGTGTGTGCGTGTGTGTGTCTGTCTCTCTCACCCTCCCCTCCTCCCCCCCCCCGTCGGGTGTGGGAACCCTGCGAAAGTCTGTCACAGCAGGAATTGTCTGCCAGATGGTCTAGAGTCGAAGCAACGAGAGCTGAAAATAGATCAGTGGGTGGAAAAAACGAAACGCACGACGAACGCGAAATACGCAGCAAAAACAAGTTGAAGACCCACTTGGACTAAAAGCTGGAGGCGGAAATCCGAAACCGAAACCCTGCGGCCCACCTACGGGAGCTAAAGCAAGCACAAGGCGATGGTCGTCTACAGAAAAACACAGCCCGCCAGCTCAACGTGATTAAATGTCCAAAACAAAAAAAGGTGATCGATTTTGCAAAAAAGGTGAAGCAGCGACGGTCCAATTAGCTGACGACGAAGGGTGTGATGTCGTTCTTTGTGAATCAATCGACTCATGGCGGGTGCAACTCTTAAAGCACTCGACACATACTTGACACGTGGCTCGCTCATTTTGCGAAAAACGAACTGACACGTGGCGTGCTCTCATTCGCGGGAATCCATCTATTCACGTGGCTGGCTGGCTGGCTGGCTGGCGGGCGGGCGGGCGGGCGCACGCGCGTGGAGGTGAGCGCATGTGCACGCACATGTACGCGCATGCACCCACTTGGCTGGCCATCTGCACACACATGTACGCGCATATACGCTCATGCACCCACGTGGCTGGCCATCTCCACACACATGTACGAGGATGTACGCGCATGTACGCGCGTACACGCGCGTACATGTGTGTGCATGCGCGTAGATGTGTGTGCATGCGCTCACGTCCACGCATGAGAGCACGCCACGTGTCAAGTGTTTGCATGCGCGTACATGCGCGTACATGCGCGTACATGTGTCTGTGGCTGGCCCTCTGCACACACATGTACGCGCATCTGCATACACATGTACGCGCATGCACGCGCATGTACGCGTGTGCAGCCACGTGTACCAACTGGGCTGGCCACGTAACTTGCTCTAAGGAGAGTCGGCAGCAAAAAATCAATACGGAGGTCAATCCGTCTTAATCAATTGACGCGTGTCGTGTATAGCGTTTCTGAATTGTTTTTTTCACGCGGCGAGCTGAGACTTGTGAATGAATTGATCGAGACGTCACGTGCTCGATTCCGATCCGGGAACTTGTACAGATGAATTCAGCGTCGAGTTTTCATCTGTCAATTGACTGTCGGATTTTCATCAATCGAACTGCTCCATGTTATGAAAGCCGTGCGCGACCCCTAAAGAGAGAAGATAGAAAGGAGGAGGAGGAGGAGGAGGAGGAGAAGGAGGAGAGGGGGGGAAGGAGGAGGAGGAGGAGGAGAGGGGAAGGAGGAGAAGGAGGACGAGGAGAGGGGAAGTAGGAGGAGGAGGAGGAGGAGGAGGACTATAAGGAGGAGGAACCCCTGTAGGGAGAAGATAGAGAGGAGGAGGAGGAAAAGGAGAGGGGGAGGAGGAGGAAGAGGAAAAGGACGAGGAGAGGGGGAGGAGTAGGACTACGAGGAGGAGGAACCCCTGTAGGGG